GGTTCATGGATTGGAAGAATCAATATCATCAAAATGTCCATTCTCCCAAAAGCAATTTATAGATTCAATGTGATACCAATCAAAATACCAAAGACATTCTTCTCAGATCTGGAAAAAATGATGCTGAAATTCATATGGAACCACATAGCTAAAGCAATCTTGTACAACAAAAACAAAGCTGGAGACATCACAATACCAGATTTCAGGACATACTACAGGGCAATTATAATCAAAACAGCATGGTCATGGTACTGGTACAAAAACAGATGGATAGAACAATGGAACAGAATAGAAATACCAGAAATCAATCCATGGTCTACAACCAGCTTATATTTGATCAAGGATCTAAAGCGAATTCCTGGAGCAAGGACAGTCTCTTCAGCAAATGGTGCTGGGAAGACTGGATTTCCATGTGCAGAAGCATGAAGCAAGACCCCTACCTTTCACCTTAAACAAAAATCCATTCAACATGGATTAGATATATAAATCTACCACCGGACCCATTCAAATTATTAGAGAACATTGGAGAAACCCTGCATGATACAGGCACAGGCAAAGACTTCTTAGAAAAGACCCCAGAGGTACAGGTAGTCACGCAAAATTAACAATTTGGATTACATCAAATTGAGAAGTTTCTGTACTGCAAAAGAAACAATCAAGAAAGTGAAGAGGCAACCAACAGAATGGGAAAAATATTTGCAAACTATGCAACTGATAAAGGGTTGATAACCAGAATCTACAAAGAGATCAAGAAACTCCACAATAGCAAAACATACAACCCACTTAAGAGATGGGTCAAGAACCTGAATAGATATTTTTCAAAAGAGGAAATCCAAATGGCCAACAGGCACATGAAAAAATGTTCAGGATCACTAGCCATCAGAGAAATGCAAATCAAAACCACAATGAGGTTTCACCTCACCCCAGTTAGAATGGCTTACATACAGAAATCTACCAACAACAGATGCTGGCGAGGATGTGGGGAAGAAGGGACACTAACCCACAAGTTTTTACAAGTTTGGAAATGCAGACTTGTAAAGCTTCTATGGAAGTCAGTTTTGAGATTGTTCAGAAACCTGAATATAACCCTACCATACAACCCAGCCATCCCAGTCCTTGGCAATTACCCAAACGAAATTAAAATGCAAATAAAAGAGTTGTCTGCACTCAATGTTTATTGCAGCTCAATTCACAATAACTAAGACCTGGAACCAACCTAAATTCCCATCAACAGTAGACTGGATAAAGAAATTATGGGATATGTGCTCTATAGAATACTATACAACAGTAAAAATAAATGAAATCCAGTAATTTGTAACTGAATGGAGGAAGCTGGCAAACATCATGCTGAGTGAAATAAGCCAGTCCGAAAGGGACAAATACCATATGTTCTCCCTGATCGGTGACAACTAACCGAGCACCTAAAAGGAGACCTGTTGAAATGAAATTTACACTATGAGAAACAGTGGTTTGATCATCCCTTGTCCTGAGTATTGAGGAGCAACTTACTATTTTATTCCTTTTAGTGTTTTTTTGTTCTACTTAATACCATTGGTTGAACTATTTAATTAACACACAATTATTCTTAGTTGTTTAAATTTAACTGAAAAGTGATCCCTGTTAAATATAAGAGTGGGAATAAGAGAGGGAGGAGTTGTACAATTTGGAACATGCTCAATCGGACTTGCCCCAAATGATGGAGTTAGAAACGTGCCAGGGGATTCCAATTCAATCCCATCAAGGTGGCACGTACCAATGCCATCCTACTTGTTAAAGTGATCAGTTTAAGTTCATAACTGATCAAAAAGATAGCATTAAGTGTCAGATGGACTACATAAATGATATAAGTGTCTGCTAATAATAATAGATAGAATTAAAAGGAGAGAATGATCCTAAATGGGAAGCAGGATACACAGCAGACTCATAGAATGGCAAAAGCTCTAAACAGCACTCTGACCTCAGAATCAGCCCTTAAGGCATTCGGATCTGGCTTAAAAGCCTGTGAGAGTATTTGAGGCATGGAAGCTGTTGCAAAAAAAAAAAAATGACCTAAATGAAAGTTCTCTGTGAGTGAGATCACAGTGGAAATAACGGGCCATCAAAGAAGTAGGAAATTTTCTTTGAAGGGAGGAGAGAACTTCCACTTTGACTATGGCCATATCTAAATAAGATCAGAGTTGGCGAACTCAAAAGGCTTCCATAGCCTTGGCAACTCATGACAAGAGCCTCGGGTGATTAATGACATAGTAAACAAGAATGTCAAATTGTTAAATCAACTGCAGGAGTCATTGTGCACTTTCTCCCCATGTAGGATCTCTGTCCTTAATATTTTGTACTATGTGAATTAATGGTATAATTAGTACTCAAACAGTACTTTATACTTTGTGTTTCTATGTGAGTGCAAACTGTTGAAATCTTTACTTAGTATATACTAAGTTGATTTTCTGTATATAAAGATAATTGAAAATGAATCTTGATGAAGAATGGGATGGGAGAGCGAGTGGGAGATGGGATGGTTGCAGGTGGGAGGGAGGTTATGGGGGGAAAAAGCCACTATAATCCAAACATTGCACTTTGGAAATTTATATTTATTAAATAAAGTTCAAAAAAATAAAGAGCGGGAGAGACAGGGAGGGAGGGAGAGAGTGGGCCATAGCAGAGAGCTGGGTCAGAAGTGGAATAGCCGGGTCTCAAACCAGCGCCCACAAGGTATGTAGGTGCTTCAGGCCAGGGCTTTAATCCGCTGCACCACAGCACTGGCTCCTTTTGGATTCTTAGATTTATTTTTTCTTTTATAGAATTAATGTTTTTATACTCTCTCTATGTATTAGATAAGGAAATCTTAAGGACTCTCTATAATTAATTTTCTCTTCCTACTTAAGATTGACCTGAAAATTGATTTTTCATTGCCTAGAAACATGACCATCAAGTTAGTTCCTGTGCAACATTATTAACTATCCCTTGGCAACTGCAATTCTAGACTTTAGCTTATAATTAAAATCGGCCAATATCATATAGGTTATACATTAATTAGATTGTAAGTTGACTCTAGTTTCTTTTGTAATAGTAGAGCTTTTAGTTTTTTGGATATAGTGTGCAAGGTGATTTCAGCACGATGCTTTGAATAGATGAAGTTTGATTCCAAGATTAGACTGATAAAAAATTAAGTGAACTAGACTGTGAGTATTATTTGAACAAATACAAATTAGATGTTCACCCTTATAAATATGTTGAAGATGGGATCATGTTAAAAATTTATTATTCACCTTTATTATTATTATTATTATTGGTGTGTCTCCCTGGTGTCAGAATTTTGTTCAGCTCTTCCAACAATTTACTAGCTCTTCTAAGTAAATCCAGGAAATATTGTGATTCAATAATGAATTATAAGAGTGACTAAAGAATATGATCATGGCATGGTTATGGTAGTTAAGATGCCACATGGTATCTCCACATCTCATATTGGAGTATTTGGTTCCCAATTCCAACTTTCTACTAATGTGTACTCTGGTAGGCAGTAGGGGACAGCTTAAGTACTTGGGTCCCTGCCACCAAGTAGGATAACCAGATGGAGTTCCCAGATCCCAGATTTGACCTGGGTCAGTCCTGGCTGCTGCAGGCATTTGGGAGATGAACTACCAGCTGAAAGAAACCAGTGGATGGAAAATCTGTTTCTCTCAATCTCAATCTCCCAATAATTCACTGTCTCTCAAAATAAAAACACAGAAAAAAAGAAAGAGTATGATTAAGCCAAACTAGAGAAAGTGATACTGATGTGAATAGAAGTCTGGTTCCACTTTGACCATGGCCTTGTCTAAATATGATCAGAGTCGGCGAACTCAAAAGGCTTCCATAGCCTTGGCAACTCATGACAAGAGCCTAGGGTGATTACTGACTCAATAAACAAGAGTGTCAATTTGTTAAGTCAACAACAGGTGTCACTGTGCACTTACTCCTCATGTAGGATCTCTGTCCTTAATGTGCTGTACATTGTGATTTAATGCTATAACTAGTACTCAAACAGTATTTTTCACTTTGTGTTTCTGTGTGGGTGCAAACTGATGAAATCTTCACTTAATATATACTAAATCGATCTTCTGAATATAAAGAGAATTGAAAATGAATCTTGATGTGAATGGAAGGGGAAAGGGAGCAGGAGAGGGGAGGGTTGCAGGTAGAAGTGAAGTTATGAGGGGGAAGCCATTGTAATCCATAAGCTGTACTTTGGAAATTTATATTCATTAAATAAAAGTTAAAAAAAAAAAAGAAGTCTGGTAATTCCCATATTTCACATTTCACATATAAGAGGCGTGGTTGCTCCAACTATGGAACTGATCTTGGAGCTGGTCAGAGGTCACAGTAAAGATGACAGCAAAGCGTCAGACTTAAAGGAAGGAAGAGTACAGTGGATCTCTGACCTTTTACGTTTGTTTACTTTATTACTTAACTGCCAAGCTTATGACTAAAAAGTAAATTTATCATCTCATGCAGCTACCACTTCTCTATGAACTTGGACATTTATGTTTTATTTGTGTCTGTTCTCTTTGAAACAAGTCTTAGTGAAACAAACAATGTAGCTTAGTGGAAAAATGGTAATTTTGCAACCAAACAAGAATGGATTTGATCCTAGTTTTGCCACTAATTAACTGTCAGTCTTAGGTTTAAAAAAAACACTAGACTCAGTGGTTCTCCTTCTAAAACAAACACATATCTGTCTAACAGTGCTGCTTCCAGAATTATGAATAATGTAAATTCATACCTAAATAGGAACTTTTAAAATAATGGTTATTATTGTTTTTTAATGATATATGGTTATTACCTATACTATATACTATTACCTGTACTGTATTATACTATACTTCACTAAGAACTAACTGCTGCTTGAATAGATAATGAATATCATTGTTTATATATCTATCACTATATAATATATATAAGGAATATGTAATGCTGAGCACATGTAAAACTAGATATTTTAATTGTAATTTTCTTTCTTTCAGAATTACTTACTGTCATCTACCTTTCCAGAGTAAATGGCTCTATGTTGGAACGGAAAGAGGAAATACTCATATTGTAAATATTGAATCTTTCATTCTTTCTGGATATGTTATCATGTGGAACAAGGCAATTGAACTGTAAGTTTGAACTTGAATGTTATTTTATTTGTTTGGAATATTTCATATAGTTATATAACATATACCAAATTGTAGTTATTTGACACATATATTGCTAATTAGTAATTAAATGAAAAGTTTGGCTAAGATAATTTTAAATCATAAAAGCTTTATAAATTGATATGGTGATATTAACATATGTTCATTTTAGACTTTCCAAATACTGGTTTTTTGTTTTTTTTTTTTTTGACAGAGTTAGAGAGAAAGGCAGAGAGAGAAGGGTCTTTCTTCCATTGGTTCACCCCCCAAATGGCTGCTACAGCCAGCGCGCTGAGCCAATCCGAAGCTAGGAGCTAGGCGCCTCCTTCTGGTCTCCCATGCGGTGCAGGGCCCAAGCCCTTGGGCCATCCTCCACTGCTCTCCCGGAGAGCTGGACTGGAAGAAGAGCAACCGGGACAGAATCCGGCGCCCCAGCTGGGACTAGAACCCGGGGTGCCGGTGCCGCAGGTGGAGGATTAGCCTAGTGAGACACAGTGCTGCCTCCAACTACTATTAATAAGGCTTATATTCACAAAATGCAATAATAAAATAGTAATACTCATTTTACAAGTTACACATAGAAATCATCTTTATATTTAACCTCAATTTAACCACTTTCAGTGGGAATGAATTATTTTAATTAAAAATAATCATGATCAATGCATATGCCTTTTAATGCCTTCTTATTTTTCTGTTCATTAAAATACTATTCTTGGCCAGCACCGTGGCTCAATAGGCTAATCCTCCGCCTGTGGCGCCTGTACACTGGGTTCTAGTCCTGGTTGGGGTGCCAGATTCTGTCCTGGTTGCTCCTCTTCCAGGCCAGCCCTCTGCTATGGCCTGGGAGTGCAGTGGAGGATGGCCCAAGTCCTTGGGCCCTGTACCCACATGGGAGACCAGGAGAAGCTCCTGGCTCCTGGCTTCGGATCAGTGCGGTGTGCTGGCCACACGCAGCGTGTGGGCCGCAGCAGCCATTGGAGGGTGAACCAACGGAAAAGGAAGACCTTTCTCTCTGACTCTCTCTCTCTCACTGTCCACTCTGCCTGTCCAAAATTTGGAAAATTGAAGGTGAAAGAGTGAAAGGAAAAATTGTAGTGACCTCCAGGTGTTTGGTTTTGGCAACTGTAGATAACTGCGCAGCTTAGTAAAAGTGTGCAGGCGATTGAGAAGTGTTCGGGTAGATAATGAGTTCAGTTTTAGTTATGTTGAGTTGTGTGTGTTTATGACATTCAAATTGAGTGAGATAGGAGAATGGTAGGAGGTGGTTTATATGGATTTCAAAGTAATAAGATCAGAAAGGTTGCTGAAACCATAAGAATAGATTATTTTACAGAAAGAATGTAGAAAAGAGATACTGGGGCAGCCTTGTGGCATCGTAGGAAAGCTACCACCTTTGATGCAGGCATCCCACATGGTTACTGGTTCAGTTCCCAGCTTTTCCACTTCCAATCGAGCTCTTTGCCAATGTACCTAGGAAAGCAGCAGAGGATGGCCCAAGTGCTTGAGCCCCTGCACCGACATGGGAGACTTGAATCCTGGCTTCCAGCTGATCCAATCCGGACTGTTGTGACCATTTGGGGAGTGAACCAGTGGATGGAAGATCTCTCTGTCTGTCTTTCCTTCTCTCTAACTCTGCCTTTCAAATAAATAAATCTGATATATCAAATTAGTTGCCAGCAAACCAATTGTAACACAGATATTTATATATATTTTTGGTTTGGACAAGTTCATTTATTTATTTTATGTTTTTTCAATTCTCATGTTAATGTGATATTAATACAAAGAGAACAGATTCATGTAGTTCATAGATGCAGTTCTAGGAATACAATGATACTTCCCTCTCTTTCTCTTTATTTCTCTTAATGTTTGAGATAACATGTTTTTAATTTACATTATAGTTAAAGGCTTAATGCTCCACTAAATAAAGAATTAAACAAGAAAAGGTAAAAAGACCCTGATTCAGTGGGAATATAGATAAGGACTATAAACAATCACATGAAAAGATGACCATTTCACTCATATACAGTAAATTTAAAAATAACCGTAGATCATTAAACCATAGTATTATATCATTCTAGTCATTGGTTTGACAAAGATAAAAAATTAACAAACTATATTTGAAGCAATACTGATAAACCTGGCATTTCTTTCTCTCTTTATTTTTTTATTTCTTTTTAAATTTTAGCTCCTATATATAAGGGAGAATAGGCAGTATTTGTCTTATTTCATTCAACATTATGTCCTCCAGTTGCATCCATTTTGATGCAGATGGTAGAATCTTTCTTGTTTATAGCTGAATAACATTCCATTATATACCTATACCACATTTTCTTTATCCATTCATCTGATGATGCACACCTTGGTTAGTTACAAATTTTGGCTGTTGTGAGCAGTGGTGCTACAACCATGTGGTGTAGGTATCTCTTTGATACAATGTGTTATGTCTTTGGGATATATACTCAGTAGTGGGATTGCTGGGTCATATGGCAAATCTATTTCTAATTTTTAAAAGTAATTTCCACACTGTTTTTCATGGCTACACTGATATACACTCCCCTTTACCTACAACCTTGTCAGCATTAGTTACTGTGTTTTGGATAATAGCCATTCTGACAGAGTTGAGGTGATATATCATTGTGGTTTTTATTTGCATTTCCCTTATGGCTAAGGATAGTGAGTATTTTTTCATTTATTTAATAACCAACTTTTTTGAGGCTCTCTGCCCATTTCTTAACTGGATTGGTGGCTTTTTTTGGTTATTGAGATATTTGAGTTGCTGATATATTCTGAATATTAATCCTTTGACAGATAGGTATATTTTTAGCATTCTGTTGGATTTATCTTTACTTCATTGATTGTTTAATTTGCTTTTCAGAAGCTTCTGAGCTTGATATAATTCCATTGTGTAGTTTTGCTTTTGTTGTCTGTGCTTTGGGGATTTTATGCGAGAAGTCATCACCTATACCAATGTCTTAAAGTATTTCCTCTACATTTTCTCCCAATAACTTCATAGTCTCAGGTCTTAAATTTAGGTCTTTGATCCATCCTGAGTGGATTTTTGAATATGGTAAGAAGTAGGAATCTAATTGCATTCTTTTACATATATACATCCAGTTTTTCCAGCACAGTTTATTGATGAGATAATCCATACTTCAATATGTGGTCTGGGCACTTTTGTCAAAAATCAGTTGGCTTATCAGTTGGATTAATTTCTGGGCTCTTTGTTCCATTGATCTGCATTTCAATTTTTGTGGCAGTACCCTGCTGTTTTAATTACTACAGCTTTGTAGAATGCTTTGAAGTCAGGTATTATGATGCCTCCTGATTGACTGAATTAGCTATTTGCTCAGGATCACTTTGGCTACTCTGGGTCTTTGTGATTCCATGTTAATTTTAGGATTGTTTTTTCTTTATTTTATAAAGATTTATTTTATAATTAGAAAGCCGGAGTTACAGAGTGGGAGATACACACACACACACACACACACACACACACACAGATCTTCCACTGCTTGTTTACTCCCCAAATGGCCGCAAAGGCCAGGGATGGACCAAGCCAAAGCCAGGAGCCTGGAACTACATCTAGGCTTTCCATGTGGGTTCAGGGACACAAGGGCTTGAGCTGTCTTTTGCTGCATTCACAGGTGCATAAGCAGGGGTTTGAATTGGAAGGAGAGCTGGGACTCAAAATGGCACTCATATGGAATGCTGGCATTGTAGGCAGTGGCTTAACCCACTAAACAAAAACTTGGGCCCCAGGATTGTTTTTCCTAACTCTGTAAAGAATGTCATTCGTATTTTGATAGTGATTGCATTGAATCTGTGGATTGTTTTAGGAAGTATAGATATTTTAATAATGTTAATACTTGCAATCCATGAAAAAGCAAGTACCTTTGCTTTTTTTCTGTTCTTCATGATATTTTTCATCAATGTTTATAGTTTTCATTATAGAGAACTTTCACTTATTTGGTTAAATTTTTTCCTAAATATTTGATTTTTCTGTGGTTATTATGATTTGGATTTCTTTGATCATTTCTTTTTCAGTGAGTTCATGTTTAGCATATAAAAAGTTACTGAGTTTTTTGTATCCTGCAACTTTACTGAATTGGTTTAATGAATTATGACATCCTCTTGGTGGAATCTGTTGGACCCATATTCTGAATAGTATGGTTCAATTCCAGTGTATCTTTGTTGATTTTCTGTCTTGGTGGTCTGCCCATTGTTGAGAGTGGGGTGTTGAAGTCACTCACTATTATTGCATCTCTCCCTTTAGGTCTAATAGTGTTTGCTGCATATATCTGCATGGTCTTGTGTTAGATGCATATATATTTATGATTTTTCATATCTTCTTGCTGATTTGATCCTGTTATGAAAATATAATGTCCTCTTTTGTCTCTTTTTACACTTTTTATTTAAATACTGTTTTTATCTGATATGAGGGTGGATATTCTGTTCATTTCTGGTTTTGATTTTGTTGGTATATCTTTTTCCAACCCTTCATTTTCATGATATCTGTATCTTTTTTGGGGGGAGGTGAGTTTTGTATAGGCAGCAAATAGTAGGCCTTGCTTTTTTAATCCATTCAGCCAACATAAGTCTTTTGGCTGGGGAATTTAATCTGTTTACTTTAAAGGTTAGAACTAATACCTGTAATATTGTTGATTGGTTGCTGATTATACCTGTTATACCTGCTCTGTTAGTGAATTTGGTAGTGTCATGTGATTTTATGATGATTACTTCTAATGTAAGACTCCCTGCAGAATTTCTTATAAGGCTGATCTGATCTCATTTTTTATTTGTTCAGGGAATATGTTATTTCTCCTTCACTTCTAACTAGCTTCACTGGAAATAATAGTCTTGATTGTACTTTTTTTTTTTTCCTTTAAGAACTTGAATATATCATCCTACTCTCTTCTGGCCTGTATGGTTTCTGCTGAGGAGTCTGCTATTAGTCTAAGTGGTTTTTCTTATAACTTTAAGCT